GGGGGGGGGGGGGCTTTGGCCACGGCCCCTTCCGGGAGGGCGACCGCACACGGCCCGCGTGCTCACTCACACGCTCACTCACTCACACGCTCCGTGCACACTCATGCACGCGCCCTCGTGTCCTCTTGCACGAGACACGTGTGCACCCGTGCACTTAGTGCGCTCGTGCTTACACACGTGTGCACGTATCCTCAGTACTCTCACACTTACGTGGACCCGTGCACTCGTGTACTCTCACACGTGCCAGCGTGCACACGTACACTCAGTACTCCCACGCGGCAGGTGCACACGAAAGCTCACACTCTTACACATGACACACTCTTGTACATACGTGCACACGCTCTTGTGCTCACACTTGCACAGTCCTAACACGTTTACTCGCGCTCACACACGCACACACCTCCGTGCATACCCACGTGCCCCGTGTACATATTCTCACACACTTGACACATTCACACACTCTCACACACTCCCACACGCATTCAGCACACTCAGTACCTGTATACACGCACACTTTCAACACACTTGTACCCGCGGGCATGCTCACACAATTAACGTGCATACCCGCGTACTCTCCCACCGGCACACACGTGTGCACGCACACACATGCACACACTCACATGCACTCACACACCGTCATGTGCACACGTCCTCTGCCCCCGGAGCCTCAGCCAGTGGGCTGTGCAGGTGACCATTTATCAGCCCTGTTAGAACAATAAGCACACTCCCAGATGAATGCGTGTGGTCACTGCCCTGTGCCGTAAGCATGGATGGGGAGGGAGGGAGGTTACGCATCTCACTCAGGGAGGGGGTGGGGTCCAGCCCTTGACGCCTCGGTCACTCATCAGAGCCAGCTCTGTCACATGTCTCTCATGGTGTTCTCAGGTGAATGCTCTGGACAGGTCCTCACCCAGTATTGAAAACAGTCCTTCTAGAAAGACACATCCACTGGGGGTCCCCAGTGAGCCCATTAGGAGGCAGTGCTTGGGCTTAAAAAATAGGCAAAAAAAAAAACCCATCCTATCCACTTCCACCATTAGAGCCATCTCCCCCAGCTAACTTGGGGGAGCTTCTGGATGGATAGATAGACAGCTAGATGGCCTTGACTGCTTCTGGTGGGTTGGGAAACCTCCCCACTGCAGGAGTGAGTAACTGGCCAATCCCAGCCAAACTTTGTTCACCAAAACATACAATTCAACACCTCGAAGGGCCTGCCAGGACACCCTGCCCAACACTTTCAGCTGCCCAGTGAGAGGCAGAGTTCCAGTGACGATGAGAACCGCCCTCCCCTTGAAGCCAAGTTAGGAGTGGGGTCCAGGTTGTTACTGGCAGGCAAATCTCAGAAGGTCCCAGGTCTGATTTTCCTTCAGTTCCTCCTTTATGTTTAAGAAGAATTAAGTACTGAGACAGATTTCGTTTTTTGTCAGTAATTATCCACCCAGATGAACGTTCCTTTCGCTGATCATGGGAGGCCGTGGACTTCCCTCAAACACCCCATTGCTCAGAGGCCTTGTAGCTGGTAGGTCGACTCGGGGGCTTTGTTCTTTATTCTGTGTGTTGGTGGGCTCGCTGTTATAGCTCTGCAGAGAGGGTGCTCCGTTAGCCCTCCCTGCTGGAGCCCCCGTGCCAAATAAAGACAACATGGGGGAGGCAGACGGCCAGGAACCAGAGCCCTGGGATAAAAGGCAGAGGCCAGAGGTTCTCCAGATGGATCCTTGGAGATGTAATGAGCCTCTGCGCTAGGGAGGCTGCGTCCCCAGAAACCCCCTCCTTCCTTGTCACCCACACCTCCGCCAAGTCTTCAGTTGGCTGCAGCACTCCCCACCTCATACACCGCAGTGGATTAGCTGGGCCTCCCTACCTCTTAGTTCTCTACCAACCAGCTATCCCTCCCAAGCTCCAGGACCCAGTAGAGCTTCCCAATGACCAAGAGACTGCTTGGACAAGCCCCCCACTCAGAATCTCTACTGTACGTGTTTATGTGAATTTATAAAATACATATTAAAATTATCTATCCATCTATCTATTCATCCATCCATCAATCCATCCATCCATCCATCTATCCATCTATCCATCCTTCCTTCCATGCATCC